AGCCATGCATTCCTGCAAAACGCACTATACGGTGGTAATGGGAGACTTCAACGCAAAACTAGGCACAAGAGAGAACGGTGAGCTGAGAGTAGGAAAATTTGGAATAGGGCAACGGAACCCAAGGGGCCAGCAGCTGGCCGACTTCATGGAGAAAGAGGGACTCTTTATGATAAACTCTTTCTTCCAGAAGCGGCCCCCACAAGAAGTGGACCTGGTCGAGCCCCGACGGTTCGACAAAAAATGAGATTGACTTCATTATGACGACCAGACGACAACTGTTCAGTGATGTCTCAGTGATCGGGAGGGTGAAAACCGGCAGCGATCACCGAATGGTGAGAGGCACACTGAACCTAAACGTTAAGTTGGAGAGGTCACGTCTAATGAAGTCATCGCTCCGTCCCCCTCGTGCTCTAATCCAAAGTCTCGAAACCTTTCAGCTCGAGCTACGAAACCGTTTTCAGTGCCTAGAAGATTGCAGTGCAGTGGACGATATGAATGACAAGCTCGTGAAACTGTCCATGCGGTCGGAGCTAAGTTTTGCAAGACCCGCCGCAGAAGAACACAAAAACTCTCCGATCACACTCTTAATCTCACGGTTAGACGGGATATGAAGCTGCAGTCTTCAGAAGTTTTGACAGCATACGAGAGAGAGCGGAACCAGGGCTCCAAAGTCTTTGCTAGAGATCTGTCTGCCAGAAAGAGTCAACTGTCGAAGCTGAAGACCGAGTGTGGCAGCGTCATTTCCGGGACACCTAAGATTTTGAGTGAGATTGAGAGGTTCTATGGGCAGCTGTACACATCATCGTTGGAGCCACGCGCAAGTGTGAGTAACGATCCAAGAGCGAGTCTTATCCGACATTACTCCGATGATATCCCGATATGACGTCAGTCTGAGCGAAATTAGAATGGCTCTCCAGCACCTTAAAAACGGTAAGGCCCCAGGCGAGGATGGAATTACAGCGGAGCTTATGAAAGCGGGTGGAAAACCGGTACTTGAAGTCCTTCAGAAGCTCTTTAATTCCGTCCTCCATGGTGGCATTACACCGGGGGCGTGGAGCAGAAGTGTGGTGGTCTTGTTCTTCAAGAAAGGCGACAACGATCTCTTGAAGAACTACAGACCGATTTCCCTTCTGAGCCGCATCTACGTGCTGTTTTTGAGAGTCATTACGAATCGTCTCGCGCGCAGACTTGACGACTTCCAGCCTCCGGAACAAGCCGGTTTCCGAAAAGGCTTTAGCACCATAGACCACATATATACCCTTCGGCAAATTGTACAGAAGTCCGAGGTGTATAATTTGCCACTATGTCTGGCGTATGTGGACTAGAAGAAAGCCTTTGATTCCGTCGAAATTTGGGCGGTGCTGCAGTTCCTTCAGCGGTGCCAAGTTGACTGTCGGTATATCAAAGTGTTGAAGTGCTTGTACAGTAAGGATACGATGGCTATCCGAGTACAGAACCAGAGTACGAAACCTATACAATTGCAGAGAGGTGTAAGAGAGGGTGACGTCATATCCCCGAAACTCTTCACTGCTGCATTGGAAGACGTTTTCAAGCTTCTGGACTGGAAATGATACGGTATCAACATCAATGGCGAGTACATCACTCACCTTCGATTTGCCGACGATATAGTCCTTATGGCAGAATCGCTGGAGGACCTAAGCACTATGCTCAATGACCTCAATAGTGTTTCCCACCGGCTAGGTCTTAAGATGAACATGGACAAAACAAAAATCATGTTTAATGTCCATGCCTATGCCGGAGCTTAGTGCTCCCAACACCTATGCCGGTAGTTGTTGGGAGCACTAAGCTCGAAGTTGTTGACGAGTATGTTTACCTGGGACAAAAAGTATGACTAGGTAAGTCCAACTTCCGAGAGGTCAATCGACAGATTCAACTCGGTTGGGCAGCGTTAGGGAAATTATGGCACATTTTCTCGTCAGGTATACCTCAAAATTTGAAAACGAGACTGTACAACCAGTGCGTGTTGCCAGGCTGAATGAGAAAGCTCAAGGTCGCTCAGTGAGCTATGGAGATGGCTATGCTCGGAGTTTCTCTGCGTGATAAACTTGAAATGAGGATATCCGCAGTAGAACCAGAGTGACCGACATAGCCCAACGGATTAGTAAGCTGAAGTGGCAATGGGCCTGCCATATAGCTCGAAGAACCGACAACCGATGGGGAAAAAAGGTTCTCGAGTGACAGCCTCGTACCGGCAGGCGAAGTGTAGGGCGTCCCCCCACTAGATGGAGTGACGACCTGGTAACATATGCAGGAAGTCGATGGATGCAGGTGGCTCAGGACCGTATTTTATGGCATTCCTTGGGGGAGGCCTATGTTCAGCAGTGGACTTGTGAAGGGCTGTAATGATGATGATGATGAATAGATGTGGAGCAATTTCGGATTCTACTGGAGCATTTAAGGAGCAATTAATTGGCATACAGTTTAATTTTAAAAAGTGGATATTTTATGTTTTATAGGAAAATTAAATGTTTGATAATTAAATTTAAAAAAAAAATTAAATTAACTAATAGCAATAGACGTGGAGCAATTTCAGATTTTACTTGAGCATTTAAGGAGCAATTAATTGGCATACAGTTTAATTTTAAGAAGTGGATATTTTATGTTTTATAAGAAAATTAAATGTTCGATAATTAAATTTAAAAAAAATTAATTATAAATTAACTAATAGCAATAGAGGTAGAGCAATTTCAGATTCTACTGGAGCATTTAAGGAGCAATTAATTGGCATACAGTTTAATTTTAAGAAGTGGATATTTTATGTTTTACAAGAAAATTAAATGTTCGATAATTAAATTTAAAAAAATTCATTATAAATTAACTAATAGCAATAGACGTGGAGCAATTTCAGATTCTACGGGAGCATTTAAGGAGCAATTAATTGGCATACAGTTTAATTTTAAAAAGTGGATATTTTATGTTTTATAGGAAAATTAAATGTTCGATAATTAAATTTAAAAAAAAATAATTTTAAATTAACTAATAGCAATAGACGTGGAGCAATTTCAGATTCTACGGGAGCATTTAAGGAGCAATTAATTGGCATACAGTTTAATTTTAAAAAGTGGATATTTTATGTTTTATAGGAAAATTAAATGTTTGATAATTAAATTTAAAAAAAAATTTAAATTAACTAATAGCAATAGACGTGGAGCAATTTCAGATTCTACTGGAGCATTTAAGGAGCAATTAATTGGCATACAGTTTAATTTTAAGAAGTGGATATTTTATGTTTTATAAGAAAATTAAATGTTCGATAATTAAATTTAAAAAAATTAATTATAAATTAACTAATAGCAATAGAGGTAGAGCAATTTCAGATTCTACTGGAGCATTTAAGGAGCAATTAATTGGCATACAGTTTAATTTTAAAAAGTGGATATTTTATGTTTTATAGGAAAATTAAATGTTTGATAATTAAATTTAAAAAAAAATTAAATTAACTAATAGCAATAGACGTGGAGCAATTTCAGATTCTACTTGAGCATTTAATTGGCATACAGTTTAATTTTAAGAAGTGGATATTTTATGTTTTATAAGAAAATTAAATGTTCGATAATTAAATTTAAAAAAAAAAAATTATAAATTAACTAATAGCAATAGAGGTGGAGCAATTTCGGATAATGCTTGAGTATTTAAGGAGCAATTAATTGGCATACAATTTAATTTAAAAAAAAAAATTCTATGCTAACTTCTGATCTGTTTGAGCAGGGTTTATCAATATCTCCTTTGAAATGCGGTACTGTGATTTTCTCTAGGCGAAGGCATATACCAGAAGTGTCCATATATATTGAAAATACACAATCCCCACTGAAAATCAGGGAAACTTTTAGCAGTTATTCTGGGTAACAAAATGACAGGAATTCCTCGTATGTCTGCTTTCAAATGTGAAAAAAACCTCTATGTAATGCGATCAGTATCCATTGCTTGGTGGGGTTCCCACCCCTTCTTCCAAAAGCTTTTATACAATGCTTTAATTAGAATTAATTTTGACTATGGTTGCTTTGTACTAGAGCCATGTAGCAAAATGGCCCTTAATACCTTGGACAAAATCCAGTCAAAATGGTCTACAAAAATATGTATTTGATAAAATATTTCTATTTTATTAAAGTGACGTTACTTGCATTTGCAATTAATATTTTTTGTAATATAATCCAATATATAAAATTCTCGTGTCTCGTCTCCAATTGTATGAAATTTTGTGTGCATATCGGGTAGGTGTGTGAGAATCGGCCAACGTCTATTTTTCAAACCCCTAAATGATAAGGGTGACGCACAGCTAAATATATTTTTTTTGACAAAAAATATTTTTATTTTATTATGATTTAGCATTGAAAAATACATAAAACTTTAAATTTTTACCCTTCTACGATCAACCACTGTTTTTTAACGCGATTTTTAAAACTAAAATATATTTCCTAGAAATAATGTATATGGCAAAACAACGTTTGCCGGTTCGGCTAGTAATAGATAATAATTTAAAACTGGTAATACAAAACAGTTTAAGGAAAGGACATATTTTTTTAATTTTTCATTAGAAATGAAAACGATTTATACTATAACAGCTACACTACACCGTAAAGATGTATGTAAGTTTTATTACTGGCATGATTAATAAATCATGTTGAATATTTTAACTAGATTAAGCTTACCATTATATTTTATATTTCATTCAAGGTATAGCCCGATATTTCTTCTTGTAACATGTATAAGAATTTACACAAATCACAACGAAAAACAGTATAACATCAAAACATAAACAAATGACTATGTAAACATTATTACATCAAATACATAAATCTATTCTGTTTTATTACATATTATGTTTGAAACTGAAATTGAATACCGAAAATAAATATAATGCCATTTATAATAGGTATATTTTTAGTATCACAAAAGTTTTCCCATTTAATAGGAGCATTTTATAAAAAATATGAACAATAAATAACTATCTACAAATTTTCTAAGTATTTCTTTTTGTACTATGACTCCACTAATGTCAATAAATCTCCCAACTTTGGTAATATAACATCAGGTAGTGGGGCAATTTTTTCATTACGTATCTTCTCAACACCTTTAGTGGAAGTCACACCTGTCAGCACAAGGAGTGTTTGAAAACCGCAACGCACACCAAACTCAATGTCAGTATTACACCTGAAAATTAATAAATTTTGTTCAAAACAATACATGTTGTACATCTTGCACTAATACAGCAAAATATTATACATTAAAATAACAGAGGATAAGCACGGAAGTTAATTAACACAAACTTCACTCAATCACAACAAAACTGTAAAAGTTGAAGAAAACTTATGAAATCTGTCTAGATTTGATTGTAACATGTACGGACGAAGATTGGAAGAAGGGGACTAGGAAGCCCTTCTTGTTCAATTTTTTTTAACCATACAATAAACGGTCGAAATTTTTGGTTCTGAGTTTGCCTATCATGATATCATATATTTGACTGCGTCGTTGGTCTAGTGATCGTAAACACAGTTGCTGACCATGAGGTCCAGGTTCGAATCCCGGGTCGGGCCAACATCAGTTATTGGGCTTTTCTGTCGAGAAATTCTCAGTAGCAGCCTGGAGACAGGAAGTTGGCGGTGTTTCACCCCGTGCCTCGAAAAGCATGTAAAGCTGTTGGTCCTGCGCTTGACCTCTCTGCAGTTGTGTTGTATAAGCATCGCATCGGACTATGAGAGCAAGGGAATGGAGAGCACACTCTTGTGCTTGCATATACTGCGCAGATGATTAGGTAAATCTACAGAATCGGCACTTCACCAGGTAATAACAAAGATTGAAGAGGCCATCCAAAACAAAGTAATATGACTAGGTTCCTTCATAGATATAGAAGGTGCTTTTGACAGAACGAACTTCTCCAGCATAAAAGGTGCACTCAGTAGATATAAAGTTGAACTGGCATTGATTAACTGGATAGTAAACATGCTTAGTACACGAACAATAAAGATTGCTTATGAATCTCAAACAATCCAGATTAAGAAAGGCTCCCCGCTCTTTCACCTCTCCTGTGGAATATGGTCATTAATGAACTCATCAGAAAATTAAATGCCAATCACTTCTACACAGTAGGTTATGCTGATGACCTGACAATACTGGTCTCTGGAAAGACAGCAAGCATGGTGTGCGACCTAACGCAAGCGTCTCTCCGTATAGTGGAGAGATGGTGCAGGGAATACGACTTAACCGTTAATCCAAATAAAACGGTTCTGGTAATGTTCACACAAAAACGAATGCTGAATAACTATCATCTCCCAAGTCTTTTCAGTACAAAACTCAGTTATCCTCTGAGGTAAAATATTTAGGTCTTACCTTGGACAGCAAACTTAACTGGAATAAACACATAGATAAGAAAATCAACAAAGCTAGTATAATTTTCTGGCAATGCAGAAATATGATTGGCAAAAGATGGGGTCTGACGCCAAAAATCATACTGTGGCTGTACAAAACTGTAATTCGGCCCATGATCACATGCGACGATCTGGTAGGGCGGAGCGAGACAAATGAAGCCACCACTATAAAGAATATTACCAGAGACTGGCATGTATGGCTGCCACAGGCTGCATAAGGACTACGCCAACAGCAGCCTTAGAGGCGATGCTGGAGCAAACCACGCTTCATCTACACATACAACAAGCGACTTTAGGTGCCATTAGACTCAAGATCCTAAATCTTTAGAATCCCTCATACAGGCATAATTGATAGAATTCACTCAAAAACTCTTATCTTACAAGCGAAGTACGATAAGATCCCTAAACAATTTGTATTCGATGAGAAGTACAAGATACAATTAAATGAAACCAGCCAGTCGGAAGGATTAAGCCCAAAATAGCTTAGAGTTTTCACCGATGGTTCTAAAACAAATGAAGGTGTAGGATCTGGAACTTTCTCTGAAGACCTTAATATCCACATACACGCTCAGCTTTGGAAAATTCTAGTAGACTGTAAACAAGCTAGGGAGACTCTGCCTGAAATAAACAGTCGTTTAACCAATGTTCTAATGAGACTGAACAAGCCGCAGATCAGGATAGTAACAAGTGCTATGACAGGACACGGCACCTTTAACAAACATTTATTCACTATATGTGTTACAGATAGTTCCGTGTGCAGAGCATGTATGGGGGAGGAAGAAACGGCGGCCCACGTGCTACGGAAATGTCCGGAGGTCGCTACATACAGGGCTAAACATCTCAGCACGCCGGGATCACTCCCCGAAGTTGCTCGCAACATCAAAGGACTGTTTTGAACTTCTTCGGGGAGATCTCATGGGTCGAATAATTACATTATTCCTGCCCACACGCAAAATACGCGTTTAGACGTGGAGTTGCAGAAAACAGCCCGTCGTAAAACTAAATTACTGCGCAGATGGTTAGTCTCCGTTAAGACTGTCCACCGTGACCGAAACTCGATCCGGAGGACATTTTTATTAGCAGAGTTTACCAATAGCTATAGACACAGTAAATATTTCTGACATTTCCCTTAGTCAACTTTAGGTGTGTATATTTATGCAAAAATATATATTCGCTAAAAATACAATGGTTTCAATTTAAAAGCATCACTTTGATCACTGCTAGCGCTAATGAAATTAAAAATCGCGATTTATTGCTTCATTTTCAGACTAAAAATATTTTGAGGTCACGGTGTGAAGTTTGTTATTCATAATTTTTATAAAAAAATTATTTCCCTATATCGTGATATTTCATATACATATATAAATTGGACACGAATCTCGATCTGGAAATGGCCATACAATGCAATGCAAATGTTTCATGTGGGATTTGAGCCTATGCCCAGCAGTGTCTCAGCTAAATGTTTAGCCACTGTATGACGGGTTCATCATTATAGTCTGTATTATAGGCTGTATGGAATAAGAGGAGACATATGCTCAGACCTTCGCTTATTACTTGCATGTATGTAGGCTGTTACTATACTATACATAGGTATACTAAAAAAATATTTTACAACATTTAGTCAAACACCACTAAGTATAATATTTTATATTCAATAATAACAATTGGTTCAGCCATACCAGTTAAAAATTAAAGACCTATGCTATTCATGGCAATTTATCTTATAAGGTCAGATCATACATATATCCAGGAGCCAGATTGTTGTGGTCAATGGTTATAACTCTGCTCCAGCAGAGGTCACATCCAGTGTTCCCTGAGGATACCATTTTGGGCTATTCTTTTTCATCATTTTTATAAATAATTTGGTTGACGTAATTCAGGGTCACTGCCTACTTTATGCTGACAATATGAAGATAATACCATATAAAGAGAGATAACATTGATGCATGATTGGTGTTCTGCTAATTTTATGTCCTTAAATATCAGTAAGTGCTTAGTTATCACCTTCACTACTAAATACAATCACCTGGATTTTTTTTATAGAATTAGGGTGACAGACGAGCACACAGTCCACCTGATGGTAAGTGGATGCTGTGGCCCATAGACATCTACATCTATCTTCGTTTGCGAATTAAAATGCAGATGCGTTGTCAGCCGTGAGGACTAAAATATAATGCCTCTTTTCCAGTAAAGTGGGTCTCCGGTTCTCTACACTCACCATACGAAACACAGCAGCATTAAGCTGCTATTTTACGCTGGTATTCTGTGAGAGCGTGGTCCTTCCCCGGTCGAGCCGACCCATTTGTGCTACAACTATACTATTAAAACAGCTGCAGCATGGTTCTACCACGTAAAAAGTGTAATATCAACAGCAAAAAATATCTGATGCGCAAGGAGACTGTTAACCCTTCACTGCATGAATTAATATATTTTTGTAGAAAAAATCATATGCATGTAGTTATAGATAGCCCCAGGATGTGTTAAAAATAATAAAAAAAATCTGTGACCTTTTTAAACAGATAAATCACATCCACTCATAGCCGTTGTTCCATAGGTGGTGAAGAAAACTTTGTTTTGAGGTGCTCAATAACTGGACGAATTTTAAATAACCGGTCATGATCAGCTTGGCCCACAGGTCTAAGAAGTACATTGTCTTGAAAATGCAATGCAAGTTTGATTTTATCAAATTTGTTGACTGGCATTGTGGATGAAACTGGGCCATAACCATGAACAGGGTGCCAATACGCTCTGTTATTATGAAATCTTTGCACTGACATGAACAGCAAAATCCCAAAAAACTTTTTGATATTTGATGCTGGGTATATTATTTTATTATTAGGATCTTTTTGCCTCCTATATAAATTAGTTTCTGCTACAACTTTCTGTATAAAATCATTATCAAAAAAATATAGTTAAAACATTGGTAAGGTGTTTTTAGCTGAGATATTTCAGAAGCAAAAGATGAGCAGCCTAAGAATCTAATTTGTCTTCATCAAATTCCATATTTCTTTTTCCAAATAAGTTTTCTCTTTTTGCAATAGTGAATTTAAAATATCACCATCGGGAATCTATTTTGAGTTTCTGCTTCTTCTAGTGGTTCTTCAAACAGAGGTGGATCATCTTCATTTACTTGCTGATCATCTTCATTATCATTCTCATCACCTAACAGATCTAGAAGTTCATCTCTAGTATAGTTTAAATTTGGTGGGTCATCATCAGAGTCATCAGCTTCTAGTTCGTCTTCTGACAGCCAACCATCTTCCAGTTGTGCTAGATAGTGTTCTATATCCTCTCTCTTGTAAATTATTCCGAAAAAAAATTCTCCAAACCTCTCGCATTATTTTATAATTTGGCCCATTCTGATAATCACCCTTTTGTAAGGTACATTCTAACAGCATTGAGAGGGTGTAGAGTTGTTTCCTTTGCAGTGTTTTTGGCTGATATGGTCACTTGCATCTTATACCATCATACATTTTTGAGGAGACAATTAATTTGCTGACCAAGGTTTTTTGCACAAGATTGTGCATTCTGATATAAATTGTCCGTAGTTGCTAAGACTAATTATCTTTAATTCTGGTACATACATCAACTTGTTCAAAGAATTTTCAGGTGAGATGTAGACAGGAATAACACTTCCTTTTTCAATCCTGTTGTCAAAATGTGCCGTGACTGTGCTGAGATTAACTGTACATCTAGATATATTCTAAGGTAGCCTTGTTAGATATAAAAGAAATATAAGTGTTTCTCTTAATATTTGATGCAATTTCTACTATTTATTAAGCTGTGTACACTTTTTTTGATTGTAGTTTACATCAACACCATTATACTTTTAATTTTAGAACTATATATAACTACTGTCTGTTTGTAAGGTACACAAAAATTCGATCAAATTAAATAAATAAATAAAATACCGATGATTTTACCACAGATGACAGGCAGACAGACGAAAATATTAAAAATAGTTATGTATGTCTTGATACTATACAAATAACCCTCTGAGCTCAATAGAAGGCAGTTATTTTGATATTATCAGCCGCTTCAATTTTATTAATATATTAAAAAATGTAATATTATTTAACATAAATCGTCAAATAATCTAAAACTCACCTGTCGCCAATCATTAAAGTCCTTGCTGGGTCTAAGCCTCTTGACTCAAGAAATTTCCTAACATATTCATTTGGTTTTCCAAGCACTAAAGCTTTTCTCTCTGAACAAGTTTCAACAGCCCTCACTAATGTTCCTGTACCAGGTACAATAATTGAACTAGATTTGGGAAAACGCTCATCAGTATTTGTTGCTAAAAACAAGCATTCATCAGATGCTAAGTAAGAAGCAGCCTTCATAAACTTTGGATAACTGATATGTTCGTCAAAACCTACAACCACTGCACCTACTTCAGGATCTAAGTCTGTTGATTTCATTGATTTAAAATCTGGTTTCACATGATCTGGCTGCAACAAAATAATGTTGTAATTTATTTTACAATATTAACATAATTTGAAAATGTTTAAAATGAAAAAAAAATATAAAAAGCTTACTCCAATTCCAATATGTCTAATGCCTACAGCTTTTAACTCATCGCCTATCCCATTGGATCCAATTATATAAACTTTTTTTTTGAAGCCAATACTTTTAAGGTAGTGTGCCACTAAATATGAAGTAGATAGTATTTCATCCTATAAAAATAATTCAAATTAATGATTTGATATTATAGTTGACTATTTTACTCATATATACTTAGACAGACCACAAGTTCTGTCATAAATTTTTTATTTTTATTATTTATTATTTATTTATTTAATTTAATTACATAGAATCTATCCAATTATACAATAATTAAATAATAATAATTTCATACATTACAAACAATAACTAACATAAATTTATACACATAACGACTAATATGATTTACAATAATAATACTCAATACAATTTACAGTGTCAATTTTACTGAATTAAACTCTCACACAATTTATAAAATGAATGATTTTTTTGACAATTATATAGAAATTATACATGAAATGAAAGGTAATTTAATTTAGAATACAATTTTATTTACATTATTCAAAATTAAGGTCATTGAGCATGGTGCTTAGGTCCTCCAGCGATCCTGCCATAAGGACTATATCATAGGCAAATCGAAGGTGAGTGATGTACTCGCCATTCATGTTAATACCGTATCCTTTCCAGTCCAGAAGCTTGAAAACGTCTTCCAATGCAGCGGTGAAGAGTTTCGAGGATATAACGTCACCCTGTCTTACTCTCTGCAATTGGATAGGTTTCGTACTCTGGTTCTGTACTCGGATAGCCATCGTAGCTCTACTGTACAAACACTTCAGCACTTCGATAAATCGACTGTCAACTTGGCACCGCTGAAGGGACTATAGCACCGCCCAAATTTCGACGGAATCAAAGGATTTCTCATAGTCCACATACGCCAGACATAGTGGCAAATTGTACTCTTCGGACTTCTGTACAATATGCCGAAGGGTATGTATGTTGTCTATGGTGCTAAAGCCCTTTCGGAAACCGGCTTGTTCGGGAGGCTGGAAGTCGTCAAGTCTGCGCGCAAGACGGTTCGTAATGACTTTTGAAAACAGCACGTAGACGCAGCTCAGAAGGGAAATCGGTCTGTAGTTCTTCAAGAGAGCGTTGTCACCTTTCTTGAAGAACAAGACCACCGCACTTCTGCTCCACGCCTCCGGTGTAATGCCACCATGGAGGACGACCTAAGCACCATGCTCAATGACCTCAATAGTGTCTCGCAACAAATAGGTCTTAGGATGAACATGGACCAAGCAAAGATCATGTTTAATGTCTGTGTCACACCTATGCCGGTAGTTGTTGGGAGCACTAAGCTCGAAGTTGTTGACGAGTATGTTTACCTGGGACAAATAGTCCGATTAGGTAAGTCCAACTTCGACCGAGAGGTCAATCGACGGATTCAACTCGCCTGGGCAGGGTTCGGGAAACTACGCCACATCTTCTCGTCAGACATACCTCAAAACCTTAAAACGAAATTGTACAACCAGTGCGTGTTGCCAGTGATGACTTACAGATCTGAGACGTGGTCCTTCACTGCTGGCCGTATGAGGAAACTCAAGGTCGCTCAGCGATCTATGGAGAGGGCTATGCTCGGGGTTTCTCTGCGTGATAAACTTAGAAATGAGTATATCCGCAGTAGAACCAGAGTAACCGACATAGCCCAACGGATTAGTAAGCTGAAGTGGAAGAGGGCCGGCCATATAGCTCGAAAAACCGGCAACCGATGGGGAAGAAAGGTTCTTGAGTGGCAGCCTCATACCGGTAGGCGAAGTGTAGGGCGACCTCCCATGAGATGGAGTGACGAACTGGAAGACATGCAGGAAGTCGATGGATGCAGGTGGCTCATGACCGTGCTTTGTGGCATTCCTTGGGGGAGGCCTATGTTCAGCAGTGGACTTGTGAAGGGCTGTAATGATAATGAATGATGATATTCAAAATGCCTTCCCCTATTTTGAATACATGCCCTTAATCGACACAGCCAATCATCAATCGCAGCACGCACCACATTCATATCTATTTCTGCCACTGCTTTAGCCAAAGATGCTCGGAGAGATTCCAAATTCTGATGAGGTTTAGCGCAGACTTTCTCCTCCAAATGTTGCCCTATCGTGTAATCCAGTGGGTTTAAATCTGGACTAGAAGAGGGCCAGTCTGCATGTCCGATAAAGTCAACAAGTTTTGTGTGCTTTGTGCCCTATGAGCTGGTGCAGACTCCTGCTGGAATATCACTATGTTTGTTGGGACGGTATTTTGGTACACCTGGGCACTAGTTTTTACAACTTTTTCACAGAAAAACACCTCAGTTAAGCCTGAATATGAGACTCCATGCCAAACCATGAGTGACGAACGATAATGTCCTCTTTGAACCGTCGGAATACGCGTGCTGCCTTCTTTGTTGCTGTTGGCATACACCTTATCATTTTATTTATCATAACTTTTTGTGATGTTAAAAAAAATTTCATTCGAAAACAAAATTTTGCAGCATTTTTTCCTGCTTACCGCCGCAACAAAGCGTGGGATCTATCCAGCCTAATTTTATTCAAACACTCGTTCAAAAAATGTCAGGTCTTCTTATGATAAGCTCGTAGTCCTAGGTCTTCATTGATCACTCTTTCGACCGTGGTTCTGTTTAGCCCATCTGAAGAGCTAAGATTTTTTGTTTACGAACAGGATTTTGTTGGATTCGCACCTTCACTGCTTTGATGATTGCAGGTATCCTAACTGTACGAGGTTGGCTGGTCCTCTTACGATCTTTGAAACTTGAATCTTCAGTGAATCGTTTGATAATTTGATAAACAAATCGTAGGGTTATTTTCAATTTTTATAAAATATTGAAAATCTCTTTTGATGCGTAACCACAGCGGTGCAACTAGGGTTACCATATCTTAGGATTAGTCCTGATATTTCAGGATTTTTAGACTCTTCTCAGGATTGCGGCTGGATTTTGCAAATCTCATGAAATCTCAGGATTTTTAGAACTTTCAATATAATACAGCTTACATTTTAAAGATCTCTTTAATAAAAAGTGAAACAAACTAAAAATAATTTTCCTTTGATAATAATTCCACAATTAAAATCAAAACTTATTTATCCAAGTAAGTACTTAAACAGTTTTATCATACTTAATATGTGAAGATACCTTTTTAAGTAAGGTTTTCTTCTCAAACTGCAAAAAATCTCAGGATTTTGAAATGGAAATCAGGCCTCTTCTCCGGACTTTTAAAATTTTTTCATCTGGTAACCCTAGGTGCAATGCTATAACAACTACTCTAACTCCTTTCTTTGACCACTCCATATTTGAAAATTAATGTCTTTTTTATTTTCGGCAAACACAAACGTTATATTTTTAAAATTGGTGAAGTTTATCTAATCAGTATTAAAATTTTTAAATAATAAGGTTTTGACAGAACTTATGACCCGATTAAGTATTTAAAATTTATCACTTAATAATTAAAATAATACCTGAAAATGGGATTACCTCATTAGCTATAAAACCTAATTGTTGAGCTTTAATTGCAAAATCTCCTCGAATCTTCGTAGAGTTATTGGTTACAAAAAATATTTGCTTCCCAATTTTACGAAAATAATTCATGGTATCAGCGGATCCAGGAATAGCATTATTATCAATCCACAAAACGCCTAAAACATTTTTATACATTTATTAATTAAAGTACATAGTTGAAAAGAATATTTTTTTTAGGTTCCCTACCATCACAGTCACAAAGAACAGTGTCAAAAGAGTTAAGAAACTCTTGAACTTGATCTTTTCCTGCATCTTTTAAATTAAATACTGCTGATTTAAACATTGTGAAGGTATTAATATTTCGAGATGACACTGTTATGACCTGGTGTACTATATTATAAAGACATAAAATACGTTTTCTTATTAGTTTTGCTAACACTACATTCATCACTGAACTTTTTTCACAGATTAGTAATTACCAAAGAGTATAGTAATTACTAATTATACTTATAGCATGGTGCGGGTGACAGGCTGACAGCTTACACCCCCCCGCCTAAGTAGGCCTGGGCAAAAAATATCGATATTTTTAAATAAAAATATCGATATATATCGGCGATATTTGAAATCGCGATATTTCAATATTTATTTTAGAGTATCGAATTCGTATCAATTTTGATATATTTAAAAATGTTGTATCGTTTGTTTCGTCGTCCAATCGTCAGTAAATAAAATTTTTGACCTTATCTTGACATCATGCAAAGGTTGATATTTATCACGCGATATATGTCGATACTGATTAAAAATAAAGATTCGATATATATCGATATATTTTTTCCCTTGCCCATCCCTACGCCTAAGGGCACAAACTATATAGAAACACTACGCGTTCCTAAGGGTATTAGCACAGTATTGTATATTTATACTGTGGTATTAGTATTCTGTGGCTTACACATTTGCCGTGTCTAGAGATGAAACATTGTTAAATCGATTTAAAAAAAAAGCGATTAACGATACACAAAGCAAAGCAAAAGTTATCGATGAGCTATCGATATAAAAATTAAAACCGAAACATATATTTCTTTATAAACTGCAATGCATGATGATATACAAAATGCCTTCCCCTATTTTGAATACATGCCCTTAATCGACACGGCCAATCATCAATCGCAGCACGCACCACATTCATATCTATTTCTGCAGCTGCTTTAGCCAAAGTTGCTCGGAGAGATTCCAAATTCTGATGAGGTTTAGCGCAGACTTTCTCCTCCAAATGTTGCCCTATCATGTAATCCAGTGGGTTTAAATCTGGACTAGAAGAGGGTCAGTCTGCATGTCCGATAAAGTCAACAAGTTTTGCGTGCTTCGTGCCCTATGAGCTGGTGCAGACTCCTGCTGGAATATCACTATGTTTGTTGGGACGGTATTTCGGTACACCTCGGCACTGGTTTTTACAACTTTTTCACAGAAAAACACCTCAGTTAAGCCTGAATATGAGACTCCATGCCAAACCATGAGTGACGAAGGATAATGTCCTCTTTGAACCGTCGGAATACGCGTGCTGCCTTCTTTGTTGCTGTGGGCATACACCTTATCATTTTGTTTATCATAACTTTTTGTGATGTTTTAAAAATTAAATAAAATTTTAATACAAATTATGACATAATAGCTGTTCCCGGACATCGCCCGCTTGGTATATTACGATTGGATTTCATGGGTTTTAATTTTTTTGCGCGGAATCCAAATTTTATTCTAAAATAAAATTAGCCTGTGATACTCCTTATAACATCAGCTATCTATTAGTGCCAGCTATAAACCGGAACAAACAGACAGCTAGACAAACATTGTAATTTTTTTGTCTTTTTGTTATAAATACCATATACAATATATAACGTAATTAACGTACACCCTCAGACACCCCAATTAGTATATTATGTTATAATCATTATACATACACTGACTTTTTAATTAAACATGTTTGTGCATTGATTATTTATTAAATTAGTTATACTAATTCCGGAACAATGTTGTGGTCACAGTATAAATCTATGAGTATAAATCCACGAACGCACGCAGTCGCTCACGTAGGTATAGGTTTTGAGGGTCTTGCTATCCCAGTACATAGGTATTCGCTCGCGTTCGAGACGAGTTAACGCCGCCGCCGCTTGACACAACTGTAAGTAGGTATTAGTGCCGAAAAAAGCCAACAATACACAATTGTTTATTTAAAAAAAAAATACCTACCTTGAACATTTATTTATAATAACTCAATGCCTATGCACACTAACTGATGTTCGTACTCCGAGCATCGAGTTGTTTATTAGATCTAGTAAACATTTGATTCTATTTTTCCATCACACTTTTCAATCTTTGGACTGTCGACTCTGAATAATTTTGTTTATTGATTATGATACAATGTTAATATTTTAGAAATAGAATTAATTATTTTAGAAATATATTTCCTAATAGAATAAATCTTGGAAAAACCAGAACCTATCACAATGATGTATTTCTGACGAGGAATACAAGTTGTACTAAAATAAGATTTATGCTTATAAATTCATTTATTCATAACAAAAGATACAGGAAAAGAAAACAAATATAATTAGCCTATTAAATTGTTTTAAATTCATTTAAGTTGATATATTGGAATTACAGGTGTAAGGTAACTTAATATTTAATGAAACACGTTTAAATTATGCAAAATTCTTACAATATTCACACAGAAAATGACTATAATATTATGTACTCAATTTTAATAAAATATAAAAAAACATGTCGCCAATTTAAGTTTTGTTTTAATAGAAAAATTTGCTATTCTATTCTATGTTCGTAAGTAGATTGCGACTGGATTAGTCAGTAAAATAATAAGAGAACATAACATAAACACTCACGCCTGTCACCCAGAGGGGTAGGCAGAGACTATGGATTTCCATTTGACACGATCCTGACACACCTCTCTCGCTTCCTCCACATCCATATACCTACGCATATACGCTCGTCGGTTAAAGGTACTCTAGAAGTGGGATTATTCTAATTTAAGCGTTATCTTTGTCATTATTGTAGGATGTTTTTATTGATAAATATTACAGTAATTAAAGGATTATAATTCAAACTATATACATAAAAATTGCAATGAATAAACATTGATTTCTCAGAATTATAACAGTGTTTCATTTTGAAAATACCTCCTATCTTAACCGATATTTCTGAGAGGGTTTTAGGGCAAGGAAAAACCCTCTCAGAAATGAGAGGAGGCCTGTGCCCAGCAGTGGGACGTAAATAGGCTGCAACTTTACTTTACTTTACTTTTAACCGATATGGTGATGATGATGGTGATATAGAAAAGCAATGAATCCTATCTTCAAAAAACTCGCCTATTTTGAATATTTGGTCTATTTGTAGTAATTTTTAGATTCCTTTGTTATATTGTTGCCGAATATGATTGAAAACTTCAACGAGAAATAATAATTTTCAATGATTTCTGTTACTTTTTTGAAGTGTGGTAATTACGCCTATCTTCAAATTTTCAGCCACACCAGCTTGGTGATACCTCCTATCTTACATTATCTCGCTAAATACTTATTCCAAAAATAAATTGATAATTACCTTACAAATGGGTCCATTTAAGTATAAAATTGCCATTTACCCATTTTTTCTTAAACTTCTGTGAAAAATAAAAAAGGGTTTATTGCGCCTCCTGTAAAATTTGGTTTTTGTAAGCTAGGAGTTGTTGGCACTTCCCCGTCGATTTATTATCTTCGCTAAGAGTATTTTGTGTGGGACAGTTACTATACTCTTTGGATGATTTGTTGTTATAATGTGTATTATGTAATATGTTAATATGTACGTGGTAGAGCCATGCTGCAGCTATATTATGGTTGTAGCACGAATGGGTCGGCTCGACCGGGGAAGGACCACGCTCTCACAGAATACCAGCGTAAAATAACAGCTTAACGCTGCTGTGTTTCGTATGGTGAGTGTAGAGAACCGGAGATCCTTTTTACTGGAAACGAGGCATTCCATCTTAGTCCTCACGGGTGACAACGCATCTGCATTTTGATTCGTGATCGAAGATAGATGTAGATGTCTATGGGCCACAGCAACCACTTACCACCAGGTGGACTGTGTGCTCGTTTGTCACCCTTATCCTATAAAAAAAATGTTATGCTATAGTCTTTGCGTTATAGCATGGTGCGAGTGACAGCTCACGCCTATGAAGTTTCATTTTTTTTAGATAAACTGTCATACAGATATTTTTGTACTTCATATATGGCATGGAGTATAGAATAGAGGCCCTTGTCAACTAATGTATGGGACCTATGCGGCATTAATAACACCAGCGCTATCGAATAAATTCTCAGAGAACTACGTTGGCTTCGCAGATCGATGTAGTACTTGTAGTTCCATCCGTGTAAATCCCAATTTCGTGGGATAAAAAATAGGTTATTTATTTAATACTTACCTAGTTTTAATGAAATCGGGCTATTAATTCTGGAGATTGCCCGTTACCAAAGACATTTAAGTAATAGTAGTAATAGACCGGACATCAGTAGCAAAATTTTCGTCTGTAACTTATGTCCTATAGGATATATCTCCGATTTTTGTCATTTAGTCTTAGTGACATCGTCAAAAAGTCAAGATGCATTCGTTTCATATATTAAAAAAATATTTTTAAAGAAAATATGCTAGATTGTGCATTAAGATTTTGTAAGTCACGATATGGAGCAAAAAATGAACGTGATATCGTTTTACTATCGTAAATATAACATATATTTACCGAATAATCTTTAATTTGGGCCGTAGAGCAAATCAGAACATGACATTACGTTTTTTTTAAATATGAATTGGATATAGGCAAGGGAACGTGTGGCAACCTCTAGCTAAAAATAGCAAAACAACGCTAAGCATTTATTAAGACAACATTTTAGCTATTCCCCGGTAGGTGACGTTAATAAATATAACCTTGTTTTAGGAATGTTACCGTTTTGATATCAAAGTATCGATAATGTTGTTGAAGATTACTAAGTTTGAAATGCTTTTCGATATAATAATAGAAAATATACATGATTGTTTTATAATTAAAATTGGTAACTAAATAGTGACGTTTACTGGATAACAGAGGGCGCTTATTACAATAAAAATAAATGTTCTACAACAATGTACTAGAAATAATAAAATTTAAAGATTATTCGGTAAATATATGTTATATTTACGATAGTAAAACGATATCACGTTCATTTTTTGCTCCATATCGTGACTTACAAAATCTTAATGCACAATCTAGCATATTTTCTTTAAAAATATTTTTTTAATATATGAAACGAATGCATCTTGACTTTTTGA